TAATTCTAGGGTTTAGCCTAACTCCACTAGACCAGCTCCTATCCAAAAATTCCTACAGTGAAAAGATCAAAGTTTTACCCAAGTAGTTAGCCAGGTAAGGATAGTACTAGAGGGTGATCAAAGATCAATTAAGTACCTCTTTCCTTGCGGAGCGCTTTACGCAACCCCTAAACCTTTCCTTAGACACCAACTATTCTGAGAAAACTTTAACCGTTCACTTAAGGATTTCTTGTTCCTTATTGAGCTCGAATCCTTAGGGGCCAACGTCTAATGAGTTTTAGAAGGCTTGGGTTTGTGAAGTGAGGAATTAGTGATTTGTGGGCTAAGGAAAGGGTGATGAAATCCCTTACCTTATCTTGATTGGGGTTTTGCCCTTAAGAATGTTTTAAGTGTGCGCCAAATCAAGTGCAACAATCACTTTGGTGAATTCCTACACTATATGAAATGCAACCCTAGAAATTAAAAGCGAATAAAAAGGATGATAAAAAGAAAATCTTTATATTTTTTTAATTATGGTCAACAACAATCAAATATGAGAAGATGATTCATGTTTGAATTTATTATCTTATTAGTTAATGTCCAAGTAAAAGATGAATTTTATTATGATCAACAAAAATAAAATCTTTTTTTTTATTTTTTTAAATCCTAATTATCTCTAATTGTGAAGCTAGCTAAAGAGGGTGGAATTAAAAACTAGAAAGAAGACTTACCCGAAAGCAATGCTCGAAATTCTTGATCTTCAATCCAAGATTAGAAAAATACACAAGTTAAAGAATCAAATTAATAAAATCCTATTTTAGCACCTTCCCCGGCAACGGCGCCAAAAACTTGGTGCGGCATAATTATGTACCAAAATTGCAAGTGCACAATTATCAAGTTATAGTATAAAAAATATCGATCCCACGAGGAAGGTGATTTTAAGAGATTATTAGAAATAGTTCTTATATTTTGTGCGTGACAATTTAGAATAAAGAATAAGTGTGATTGTGATGAGTGGTTGTTTTGATTTATGTGCAAGAGATAATAAATTGAATTTTAGAGAAGAAAGAATCAAAGAATAAATAAAATCACAAGTAAAAAATATGAATTAATAAAATTAAGAAAGTCAAGATGGAGGATTCAAAAGAGGTAAGAAATCTAGAATATAATCCACTAACCAATTTCAATTACAAAATATAAACTATTCTCTTTTTATCATATTTCAACTTAGATTTATTAAGCATAGATTATCAAACCATTTAAGAAAAGTGTAACCTATTAAATTATTATCTAAGTTGAAATTACTATTCATGATAAGAACAACAGCATGATAATAATCCTAGAATTCATAAGCATAACCTATCAAAAAAATTACTATTCATGATAAGAACAACAGCATGATAATAATCCTAGAATTCATAAGCATAACCTATCAAACCATTTAAGATAAGCATAGATTATCAAATTCTTCTTCTACCGATTAGTTCTCTAGTTGATTATCCTAAACATGAACATTTTAAGTGTAAGAGAATAATTCATATAAAATAAAGGAAATTAGACTAGTTTTATATAATTCTTAGATTCCTACAAGATTTAAATTCACATCTTTAAGAAATAAAAACAAGAAAAAGAACTAATTACAAAATAAAAAGAAAATAAAAATCTAAACTCTGAACAAGAAATAAATCTAATTATAAAGAAAATAAAAATCTAAACTACAAAATAAATTACAGAATTATATACAAGAAAATAAATCTACTCTACAATTTAAAGTGCAAAAAGAAATAAAACGACAAAAAATAAATCTACACTACAAGCATGAATTTAAATCTAACTAATAAACAATAATAAAGAAATTACTAAAAAGAAATAAAAGAGAAAAGAAATGCAAACCTTCAAATTGCTCTTCATCTCCATCCTCATCATTCAACAAGAGGAGAAAGAATAAATTTAAAGAGGAAAAATTATTATTATTAGTTGCAACTAAAGTTACAATTTTTAAAAGGCCTTCTCAATTAAGAGTAGCCCTCCTCTCCAAAAGGAGTTTACAAAATTTTCACACCTCTAACCCTTCACTCTCTACCCCTATTTATAGTAAACATCAGTGAATGAGAGCCATTGGATTGAAATCTTATCCAAAAACAACAAATTTCAACCTTAGATTCGTAACAAACCGCCCAGCGTATCGATGCAGGCATCGATACAGGCATCGATACAGGCATCGATGTCGGTATCGATGCAGGCATTGATGCCGCCATCAATGCAGGCATAGATGCCTGCCCTTCTCCTTTTGTTGTCCGCAGATTCTTCTTGTTGTTTGCTTTTGGGCTTTGGACATTGGGCTTTTCTTAGACTCTTGGGCTTGGGCTTTGATTTATCTCTTCATTAAATACTTGAAAGAATTCATTGGGCTTCATGGCTTCATTTCTTCATTAAATTATGGGCTTTTTGTTGAGAGATGAGGGTTTTGAGATTTATTCTTCATTAACCTGCAATTAAAGATAAAAATAATTATTAGTGGTATATTTATTCATATAAAATAGATAATGAGGGTATAAAATTGTAATAAAAATATGATTATCAATAGATTTATCGACCTCTTTGCATGCTCGTGCGGATAAACAACTATCATAGGTTCATCGACCTCTTCGCATGCTCGTGCAGATAAACAAATATGTGTAGTATCAAGCGGTGTACTAACCCACTAACTCAAAAGGGTAATTGTAACAATATTTTATCATAATCCCCTAAGGATACTCACATATGTATTACAACATATTCATGACTACAAGTATAATATCGAGTGGCTCAACTCTGCGAACACATCTTAAAACAACGCAAACAACTCTAGAAAAGAAGAAACTGGGCGAAACTGCCCACGAAATGGTCAAGACTACTGTTAGTAAAATGAACATATCTTTCTCTAAGAAAACTATTTTTAGGAATGAGTTTCTGTTTTTAAAATTAGATTCACACATCTTTCATTTGGTACTAGTTTAGTTTAATTTGGAGTTCATTTGCTATACCCAGTTTTCAGTTAAAGATCATATACGTGCAGCAGATTTCTGCATGATATGTCATTAATAAAAAGAGTATATATTTCTCTAAACAAACTATTTTTAAGAATGGTTTTCTGTTTTAGAAATTAGATTCACATATATTTCATTTGAAACTAGTTTAGTTCAATTTGGAGTTCATTTGTTATACCCAATTTTCACTTAAAGATCATACCCGTGCAGCAGTTTTCTGCAGAATATATATACCACTAGTAAATCTCTTTAATTTCTCATATATAAACAAAATTGAATATTAAAGTATGATAGAATTACACATGAAAAGAGATTTCATTCGTTTTAAAACTTGATTTCAATCCTAGATATCACAACCTTAGGTTTTAACATGATTAGTTTACAAGAAGAACTCAAATAATCAAATAAACTAGGATTTTTAAATGAAAAAACTTAGTTTACAATTGTAAAATGAAATTTTATATTAATCCTAATGATCATGATCATAAATCTAATTCCAACAGTAATTAAAAAAATATTCAGTTCTAACATTGGATCAAAATTATCATCGAAAATCTAATTTATTTTAACATTGCACTTAATCATTGAAGTTAAAGCTCAGGCATAAAAATATTATTTCTTAAACATCCTACAATTTTAACTAATTACAGGGAAAGGTTTGGATGAGGGTAGTCTTGCCTCGATGTCGCTGAAAATCCCTAAGAAAACGTTCGTGCAAGATCCCTCCTTGCTGCAAACCGATATCCCTCGTCTTCTCTAAAAAATGGCACAGGGAACTCTCCCCTGTTTCCACTTCTTCAACATCACAGGAGAAACTCTAAGTTTTACATGTAGGATTTGAGAGGAGGAAGAGATTGTTGTGGAGTAATTGGAAGTGATAATGGATTTGAAGTTGTTTTTATTTGACAGAGATTTCTTTGGAGAAGAGGAGTTGTTTTAGAAACTAGGAACTGATGCTCTCAGTATCAGGTTCTTCTTTGTTTTTGAGAGAAGAAACATGAAGAGAAAAATCATGCATTTGTTTTGTTTTTGTCAGTACAAATCACATATATTTAGTGAGGAGTGTTGACATCCAGCTCTAGCCGCACAGTGCTGAAAGCATCGAAAAACACCGAAAGAAAAACCTGCACAGCTAAGCTAAAGTAATTTCCGTCACAGTAATCTGCTACAATGATTGAGGTACTGTTCATGGAAGATTATTTTATGTGCATGATTTGTTTAGTGTATTGGCTTTAACTTTCTCATCCAACCTCGGAATGATGTGATTTAAGATTTGTTGGAAAGATGGTGAAGAGACCTATAACTTTAGTCTTTTAAGTTTTTTCAGATTCTAACTGCATCAGTATGTAAAAGACCTAAATTCTTAACTGGTCATGTGCGTGATTTGTGCATTTGCACTCGTATATTCACGTATATACATTTAATTGATCTCAAATCTATTCCTAACATACTCAAACATCAAAATATGATATTTATCTTCGTATAACATATTAATTATTATTTATCATAAAATATTTAAATTTTTAGGGTTTTACATTCTTCCCCCTTAAAAGAATTTCATCCCCAAAATTCTGTAATTGTATCCTAGAGATTAATAATACCAGAAAAGCATGTTGAGGGGATAATCCAGAAAAGAAAACCCTCATATATATATCTCGTACCATTAATCTTGAGGTATGAACATAGTGATATTTACATTTAATGTTCTGGAATGTAAATGTTCCCACTTAACCCTCAATCAATCGGAACTAGTACGTCAGGCAAAAAATCCAAACAATGAACCCCCCATGTATATACCATGTGTTCCTAATACTTAGGAGCTAAGTGTCAATATCCACATTCTAGCATTAAATGTAAATATGGCGAAAGAGATATATCAAAAGCAAAACACAAATCATAATCAAATCAATTTACCTGCCCAAACAAGTGTGGGTAGTCACGACGCGTGTCCTCCTCGTACTCCTAAGAAGCATCCTCAACCCCCTTCCAATTCTACTGAACTTTCATTAAGGGAATGACCTTATTCCTTAGTCTCTTGTCCTCTCTAGCAAGGATGCAAATTGGCAACTCAATGGTGGACAAATCTGTCTGAATCTCGACCTCAGGTGTATCAATCACCCTTTGCTGCTCCTCATCGTGTAGGCGCTTCTTGAGCATCAACACATGAAATACATTGTAGACACTTAACATCGATGCTCGAAGATCTAGTCTATATGAAACTGCTCTAACACGCTCGATAATCCTGAATGGTCCAACATATCTCGAGTTAAGTTTTCCCAGTCTGCTGAATCGTTGAACGACCTTCATAAGCGATACCTTCAACATGATAAAATCTCCAACCTGAAACTCCAAAGGTCGTCATCTCTGATCCACGTTGCTCTTTTGCCGACTCTGAGCAGTAAGAATACGCTCCCTAATTAATGGTACCTTCTCTGCAGTCTGACTCACAAGCTTTGGCCTAAGTAATAGGCTATCCTCCGGCTCTTCCCAATAAATTGGGGATCTACAAGGTCTCCCGTACAATACCTTATACGGAGCCATACTGATCGTTGCTTGATAACTTTTGTTATAAGAAAACTCGATCAAAGGTATTTGGTCCTCCCAACAGCCCTGGAAGTGTAGAATGCAAGCCCGCAACATGTTCTCCAAAATTTAGTTCACTCTCTCTGTTCACCCATCTGTTTGCGGGTGAAATACACTGTTGTATGATAATCTGTTGCCAAATGAATCTTGGAAGCTCCTCCAAAAGTGTGAAGTGAAAACTGAGCCTCGATCCAATACGATAGTCTCTGGAACTTTGTGCAATGAAACTATCTCTCGAATGAAGATCCTTGCATAAGTCTCGGCGGTGTAGGTAGTCTTCATTGGTCTAAAATGTGCTGACTTCATCAATCGATCAACTATCACCCTAATGGAATCATTCCCTTTCATCGACCTCGGTAACCCCACAATGAAATCCATAGAGATATCCGCCCATTTCCATTCTGGAATGGGTAAAGGTTGTAGGGTTCCTGCTGGTCTCTGATGTTCTGGCTTCACTTGTTGACAGGTAAAACATCTAGCAACATATTCTGCTTTCTTCCTACTCATGCTGTTCCACCAAAAGTGTCTCTTTAGGTCCTTGAATATTTTTATTGTGCCTGGATGCACTGTGTACCTAGTACGATGCGTCTCATTTAGCAACTCCTTTAGTTCTGCACTAGCTGGAATAACTAATTGGCTTTTCATACGAAGGCCTCCGTCTGCTCCAGCGGTCTAATCAGCTTTGGGGTCTTTGGAAATCTCTCCCTTTCGGGTTTGAATCCAAGAGTCTTCTAGCTGAGCTCCAACCACTCTATCACTCTAAGATGGTTGCACTGACATAGCCCCTAAAAATGCGCTGCTCCCGTCGATCTCTGGTCTAAAGTCAAACTGGCTAAGGGTGTAAAGGTCTCGGTACAACGAACACCTCAAAGCCACAACCAGATGTCGACGCTTCCTACTCAAAGCGTCTGCTACGATGTTCGCGTTCCCTGATAAGAAATTTGAAGGACCCATATCAATCAGAAATATGGTCTTGGGAATATCCATCTCCCGAACCCGCAACTAATGATAACCAGAATGAAGATCAATCTTTGAGAAATACTATGTTCCCTATAGCTGGTCGAATAAGTCATCAATCCTCGGTAATAGGTACATGTTCTAGATGGTGATCGTGTTCAACTCATGATAATTGATACAAAACCGCATACTATCGTCCTTCTTCACGAAAAGGACCGATACTCCCCAGAGAGAATGATTCCGACGAATAAAACCCTGAGATTAAAACTCATCTAACTTGGTCTGTAGTTCCCTCATCTCCGCAGGTGTCATACGATAGGGTGCTCGTGATATCAGGTGATGTGCCTGGCTGCAACTCGATGCTTAACTCAACCTCTCTCATAGGAGGTAACCTAGGTATATCTTGAAAGATATCTTGATAATCTGAAACAACTTTAGTCTCACAAAAATCAATATTATGGTCCCTCAACATTACCTCCTCGACGTATGCCAGAAGAGATTACGCAAACTGGTTGCCCTGTGAGATCGTTACGATCAACTCAGACCCATTGGACACCCTCAAGTTGATTGTCTTAGCAAAATAGTCGATACTGACATGGTAGGATGAAAGCCAATCCATACCAAGAATGACATCAAAATATGACATCCGCAACACGATAAGATCTATGAGAAACTCGGACTCATCTAAACTGATGACACAGCTCTTACAAATACTGTCCAATAGAGATACCTCCCTTAATGGAGTAGAGACGGTTAACGGTCCGTCTAGAGCATGTGCAACTAATTGGAGCCTATCTATGAAGGTATGAGAAATAAAATAATGTGAAGCTCCAGAATCGAACAAGATCCGAGCTGGAAAGGAATTCACAAGAAAGATACATTCCACTATAGCTCCGCTCGCACCCTGATCATATGGTACGACCGTATAAATCCTGTCGGTGGGTGGTGACTATTGAACTGCTAGTAGTGGAGCATACGGAACCATTTGTCCCTCAGGAATCCCCAGAATAGCATGGATTTGGCATGCTGGCCCCTCAATCATCAGAACTATAAGTGGTGCCTCGATCCTCCGCTGCTGCTGGCTGTAACCACGACCCTGTTGTTGCTGTTGGCCCTGGCCGTGACTCTACTGCTAACCTTTTCCTCATCCCTGCTGCTGTCCTCCTCTTGGCACGTTGCGGCACTCTGCTGCTTTATGTCAAAATTTCTGATAGTTATGACATTTCCCTTGAAATTTGGGCTGCTGCTGCCCCCTCTGACCCTGCAGTGGTCTTGTCTTGAACTATCCTTGCTTGTCCTTGTTGCTGATGCTAAAAATCCTTACCCCACTGATGGGGTCCTCCAAGTCTGGCAAAAGATCTCTTACCCTTGCCATTGTCATTCTATTGCCCTGATTTAGAGCCATTTTCTCTGGTCTTCTAAAACATTGCAGTCTCTGTCTCCTACGATATGGTTGCATCAGCTACCTCTCGAACTGAACAGAATCTCCTGGATACTAGGTAGCGACAAATACTTGGATGAAGCCCGTAAGAAACATCTGCGCCTGGTGCTCTTTTGTCTGCCACATGCTCGTAAAGTGAAGCAGACTCATAAACTTGCTTTCATAATCAGCTACGGTCATGCCTCCCTATGTCAATCTGGACAGCTCAAGTTCCTTCCCGACCTATGCTACGGGAGAGATGTACTACTCATCAAAGAAGTATATGAACACCTCCTAAGTGAGAGTCATCCAGTGCTCTGGGGTAAACTAAAGTCGATACCATCCTCCGACATCACCCTTAAGGCTGTAAACTGCTAGGCTCTACCTTTGCACTGAATTTACACCAAGTAAGTCTAGTATGTTACTGTGACGCTCCTGGGTTCACACAAGGCTGCAGTCCAAGGTGAAACCAAGAATGTCAAACCTGCCATGCACCACACCGTGCAATAACATGTTTCACCATCACAATTAACATCTATCTAGTAGAATCAACAACAGGTGTAGGTACAAAAGCAAGTAAAAGATATTGCAAGAATCAACTGATGAAATAATAGTGATCACATTAATGTCTCATCATCCAACATACAGAAAAATGTAGTCAAGGTCAAAATAGATAACTGGAATACTCAATAAGTCTCAAATACAAATGTCTGACAAAAGGAAATAAGGCACACAGCCTTTACAACTTCTAGAACAAGACTCTCAAATATCTAAACAAAAGTCTACTGTGGAACTCCAAAAGAAAAATATATAACTAACTAGACAGCTGAAGCTAAAATGCATCGCCATTAACCTGCGACTCTCCGGGCTCCTGGCTCGTTACCTGAAAGGGGGAGGGACAACGAGCGTCAAAGAGCTAGCGAGCAACATCACAACTAACCCCAAGGGAACAGGGCTCGTTGTATAAGAAAATACAGTTAATATATATTAGATCTAAAATCATTGATCTTACTAAAGAGGATTTTAGTATTTAGAAATTTACAACACGAGCATAGGTACGTCGAGCGAAATAATCCAAACAAGGAAACCCTCATGTATATACCTTGTATCTCAAATTGTAAATCCCTAAACGCTAAACCCGAGGTTCTAGTACAGGAAATCATGTATATACCTTGTATCTCAAATTGTAAATCCCTAAACGCTAAACCCGAGGTTCTAGTACAGGAAACCATAATAAAAGAAATACAACTAATCTCAGAGCATAATTACAGTGCCATGTCATAGCTTACATGAGCATCATGTTATTACTTACATATATGCCATGTTATAATCTACATAAGTGTCATGCCATAAACTCCTGTGAAAAAGTCATATACAGGGTTAAGAAATATGTCCGACATAGGAACTAGATACTGTGGTTTCCAAACACATGGAATAAGTGGTAAATGTCCAACACGAGGACTGAAATAGATTATAGTCCAACACGAGGACTTCTATGGATTATAGTCCAACACGAGGACTGTGAAAATAGTGAAAATGTCGCTGAGATACATAGTGAAATCTACTTATACCAAGTCATACTCAAATCAGTGTATATATCCACAATTGGTACCCTCAGGTCATCTATCATGCATGAATATATAGTAAGACTAAAAACCAAAGTCAGATAATCCAGGCAAACACTCGAACATGAGTAAAATGTCCAAAAATACATAATACAGGGGTTTGCAATAGACAGTGCGGTGGTCGACAGACTCGGTCGATCGCACTATGATACGAGCCTGGCGGTCGACCGCTAGGCATCTCGGTCGACCGGCAGAACGTCACGGTCGACCGGTAGGCATCTCGACCGCACCGGTCGACCGCCAAGCGGACAAAAACCCAAATCTGGGTTTCTGTCAGCTCAAAACCTAAATAAAAACTTGTATATTTCTACGATAATACAGATCTAATGTCTCTATAAATTATACTATAGAAAAACAATAACTTTTAAGCATGTAAACTATATTCCCAACATTCTAAAAACAGAGAAAACGAGATCAAAACGTTTTGATTACAGTAAACACGATTTAACTCTTGTTTAAGCAAATTTCAGATCTAAAACTTTATAAAACATAACATTGGTGAATTTTCATAACCTGAAGCCTTTGATTCTTGCTAACCATATTATAGAGAGTTCATTTTATACGAAAATACCATTTGGGATCATCAAAAACTCATAATAATCAAAAGAAAACCCATGGAAAAATAGGGGTGAGGGATTGGGCGAGATGGTACTCGCCTTAGATGCTGACAAATGCCCTGAAGATGATCCTCCTTTGATCTAACCTGCGAAAACCCCCTGAAAAACCTCCGAACTTCTCAAAAACGCCAGATCCAGCTAGGGATTAGAGAGGAGAGAGATAGGGGCTAGGGTTTTAGGTCTCAGATGAAGAGAGGCTCTCCTGGGTTAGATAGGTATGTATACTAATCCCCTAACCCGACCCAAAACCCAATAAGACCAAAACAAAAATCCGTAAAAACCCCAAACCTAAAAACTCTCTGACCGCTGTGCGGTCGACCGACGCGATTGACCGCCATG